TCACGTCGTCGCCTCCCTTTCATTCCCTCTCATCTCATCAAAAAACCCATAATTGAACCAGAAATTCTACTGAAAAAATCGATCTAGCCGAGCCCCATTTGTGAAATTTCCCCCCTTTTGTTCCCCGACAGTCCCCAATCGCTCTGTAGAAGGGATAACAATTCGTATCGCAAAGGTTAAAAATTCAAGAAAAAGGGCAGAAGAGATGGAGTAGTAATTTCATCAGAAAACCCACAGAAAAAAGGAAAATGGGTGTGGATTACTACAACATCCTCAAGGTCAACCGCAACGCGAGCGAGGACGACCTGAAGAAGGCCTACCGCCGGCTGGCCAGGATCTGGCACCCAGACAAGAACGCCAACAAGCACGAGGCCGAGGCCAAGTTCAAGCAGATCTCCGAGGCCTACGACGTCCTCAGCGACCCCCAGAAGCGCCAGATCTACGATCTGTACGGAGAGGAAGGCCTCAAGTCCGGGCAGTTCCCGCCGCCGCCGCCGCGGGGCTCCCGGGCGGCGCATGGGAACCAGGGTTTCCACTACAACAGCCAGCAGCACCCGAACCCTAATTTCCGGTTCAACCCTAGGGACGCGGACGATATCTACGCCGAGATTTTTGGTGAGAACAGCGGTGGGGGTGCTGGATGCGGCGGCGGCGGTAGTGGGGGTGCTAGGAGGGACGGGCATTTCAGGAGCACGACGATGAATGGTGGTGGTAGGGATTATGGTTCGGGCGGCGGGGGTGGGTCAAGGAAGGCCCCGCCGGTCGAGAATGTGTTGATGTGTAGTTTGGAAGAATTGTACTCTGGTTCTACGAGGAAGATGAAGATTTCAAGGAATGTTCTTGATTCTCAGGGGTAATTGATTTTCTTCTTTGATTTCGATTTCTTATTCTTTGCTGTCTATAGAGGTAATTTGTGCTTGATTTGCTGTTTCATTCCTCAAGGTTTTGCCTTATTTTTTTTTTCTTTTGTTCGATTTCCTTCTGAGTAATTTTAATTGGTAGGTGAATTTTTGTGTACCACTGCAATTTGATATAATTGGGACGGCAAAATGCAGTCTTTTAGTGAGGTGGATTCTGATGATCCACCTTGATATATCCAGCCTGGACTGTTATAGATCTTATTCTTGAATTGACATTGAGAATCCAAAAGTTAAACTTTACTAGTTGTCAAGATACATTTGCTACAGATGTCAAAAATTGCAAAAGTCGATCTGTACCTTTGTATAAAAGGAGTCAAGCTGCGAGGTTAGGTTAGATGTGGTTTGATTCACGGTTGAACATGATTCGACTTCTTGTGTTCTGTATCTGCTTGTTTTCCCGTAGGTAGGAGGTTCTTAACACTTTTCCTTCATGTGGTGATATTGCTATACATATTCTTCAAAAACCTTGCTTCTCCCTTTTTTCCAGGACAAGAATATCAGCAATTTCTTCTGTGCGCAAAAATGATAGTTGGTTGGTCTATTGAAAAATGAGAATTTTGTCGAATTGTACGGTAGCATTTTGCTTTTGTGGAAGTAATGTGGGTGTGTCAAGCTATATAATTACCATGTAGTGCAAATTTATTGTGTAGATTCTATGTTACTTTGACGGTTGAAGAGCTTTTACCTATAAAATATGTAATATCATTTGTCTGAGAGTTAAAGGTGAATAAAAGGATTAGGCCCTGAGGAATCATTTCGTCAAGATTGAGTTTTTAGCTTTCTTGCATGAATCTACCATTACTTTCTGTAATTGAAGTTCTGAAGTTCATTCGGATAGTATATTATTTGCGTTAGTTAAGATCCAACACATAGTACGTGGATCTGGCTACTTTACTTTATTTCTATTAACATTTTCAGCCACGTTCTCTTTCCTAGGGATCTGAAAGGCAACACTTAAATTTGGCTGATTTGATTATGCCATCGTGTTGTCTTAAGTTAGAGAACGGCCTTTTGAAATTTTGGTATTTGTTGGCCCATAGTAAGTTCCTCATAGGAAGTAAAAATATGTGTAGGTACATACTGAAATGGTGTTGCGAACTTGCGAACAACTTATTTTATCTTCTCAGAATTGAATTAGGCAGCTTTTGCAAATATGATGTGAACTTGCTTCAAATGCTAAAATTGCCATATATTTTGAATAATATTCTTTAACTATATCTCCAATTTGGAAAGTAGCAATCTTTTTCAACCTCCACATTTGGAAATTAGCAATCTTTTTCAGCCTGCTAATCTACTTTTCATCTGCCTTGAATTTTACCTCTTTTATCCTGCAGTAAGCTCCAGGTGTTGGAGGAGATCTTAACCATCGACATAAAACCCGGTTGGAAAAAGGGCACAAAAATCACTTTCCCAGAAAAGGGCAATGAAGAACCGGGCATAATTCCAGCTGACCTCATTTTCGTGCTGGACGAAAGACCTCATCCAGTTTACACGAGAGATGGCAATGATTTAATCGCCAGACTCGAAATAACACTGCTTGAATCATTAACCGGGAAGAAAATCGAGCTCACCACACTCGATGGCCGGAATATTACAGTTCCCTTAACCGAAATCGTCAAACCTGGGCACGAGATTACTGTCCCGAATGAGGGTATGCCCGTCTCGAAAGATCCCAGGAAAAAGGGAGCTCTGAAGATTCAAATCGACGTCAGGTACCCAAAACGGCTGACTGAATCACAAAAATATGAATTGAGGAGAGTTTTGGGAGGAAATTCTTGATAATTTTTTAAACGAGATGTCATAAGTGAAGGTTAGATAATCTAGCATTCGGGTGTAAATACAAAAAAAACAATGCATGCTAGTGCTAGTTAAAAGGATATGCAATGAGGGCTTGAAGGGGAGATGAATTGCAAATGCTATCTCTCTCACTTGTTGTTGGCCAAAATTTAGTTGGCTTGCATTTCGTTCTCAAGAAGTCGTTGTTTTTGATTTATTAGTAATCGGCATACATGGAAACCAGATATTCTCGGGTTTTTTTTACCTGCAGATGATTCGTATTCTTGTTGCCGAGAGAACTGTTTTAAGTTTTTGTGTTTATTTTGAATCAACTGGAAATAAAAGGTTCGATTCACATTGGTAGCATTTTATATGTTTTATCCCTGATAATCTTTAATATTTGCAGGCATTTCTTTTTCCTCTTCTTGCTTATCATTTTTTGTGAATTGAATTGTTTGTTCTTTTTTTTTTTTCCTTGATTTCATTTTAGGTTATTTTTTCCCTTTTTCATTTTTTTTTTTCCTTTCTGCTAGAAATGATGGTTATAGAATCTCTTCACAACCTGAAATCTAATTTTGACATGGTGTTAAAAGATCATTTCTTGCATAATCTTAGCCTGAAATCTCATGTGCGCGATTGATTACAAGTTAAAATCGGTTTTGACGAAGTGAATACTTTTGAATTTAATACATTTAAAATAATAACAATTAATAATTCTCACTCGTCACATCACCTTTCATTAAAATCGATTAAAATCAATATATTCTAAATATTATTTAAATACGAAGCAAAATTTTCGCTCAATCAACTTTATTCAAAACAGACTCACTATAACCAATAAAATAAATTAAAATCGATTGTATTTATATTAAACAGCCCATAGTTAACTCGAATAACGCGGTTTTGAACAATGATTAAAGCATTCTATTTGTCATTTTCTCTTTTGAATCAAACCTTCTTTACAAAAACTTCCTATTTATTGTCAAAAACTTTCACAAAAGATGCTTACAATTTTGCAAAAATTAAAGAGCGTGTTAAAACCTAACACCTCATACAACTTTCATTTTTGCGCGCGTGAATATATTTTTGTCAATTTTCAAGAATTATTTCTTCAAAAATCTTTCTGCAAGAATATAGAACTCAAACAGTGCAAACCAGCACGCGCCAGTCAACAGCTTGACATCTACTTCTATGCTGTTTTGTTGCCACGTGTACTGTGTAGGGAGTTCTTAACACATGAGCCTTCAAATGCACGCGCCTTTTGGTGCGATTTTTTGTAGCTCAACTTTTTTGAACTTGAATACACTAACGGCTACATCTCACTTCACATTTGTCCATGCAATGATGCTTCTTTCTTTTTACTTCAACATTGATTTGTAAATTTGTTTTACATTTTGCGAGTAAAAAATAATAAGTTTTATTATAACAAATTGAAATTTCAAAGTACAATATTGAATAATTAGAATACTTAAAATATATTTTTTAATGTCTGATAAATAAGAAGAGAGACAAACAAGTTGTTCGTGAACGCATTTCAGTTCGACATGTTAAGGTTTAAAATTGAAAAAAAAATGTATAATTTTCAACTCGTTAAGATTCGTATCTAGCTTATAATGACTTATACAAGATTTGTTAATATAATAAATGAATTGAGTTCGAGCTCGAATTTATTTAATTAACGAGTCTAATTCAGTTCAACTCGTTAAAAATGAGCTCTAGTAGGACCTTTACAACTAATATTGCATAAGCATTAGTAATTGGTTTTTTGACTAACTTTCGCTTTGAGTTTCATTATTAACAGTGTTGGTATGACTCATATATTGACAAAGGAAGGAGGCAGACTGATGCCTGTGAGCGTAGCGAGGGAAGCGGAGCGGAGGTATCAACCCCTGTTGAGCTGGGTCCGCCCCCGCGGTACGGTACGAGGTAATTAAGTAAATTAATACCTTGTAGGGTTATGATATAAATAAATGGTGTATTGATGTATTGAGAACGATTCACAATAAAATATATCGCTCAGTCGCCGTGGACGTAGTAGGCACATTGCCGAACCACGTAAATCTTGTGTTGTTTATTTTCTCGTTTTTAATTCGTATAGTCATATTGTAATCTTCTCTGAACAAACAGGTTGTGGAGTAAGCACATTTTGCAATGATAACAATACCCCCACTATTGTTCCCTAAGATTTCAACTTTTTCCATCACATAGTACCTTTTTGCTCTTCTTTACTCTTTTTACCCCAAAAAAAACCTTCAAGTGTGTTCTTGAAGTTCCATTCTTTTTCAGTGAAGAAACCCTAATTGAAATCAAGAAAATGAAATCTGGTGTTTCAGTGTTGCAGTTTTTAGCTGCTTTAGCGACAGCCCTCTTCAGCAGATGCTCTACTGCTCTCAGCCCAGATGGTATGTCCCTTTTCCTTGGAAAAAAAATAAAATAAAATAAAAAAATAAATAAATAGAAATTAAGAATCATGTGCTTAAAAATCCAGTCTTTAAGGTCGATTGTAATTGTAGAGCTGGGGATTTCATGGTTATTTTTGTTTATGTTTGGTGCTGCCTAGGTTTTGCCCTGTTAGAACTGAAAGTCAGTTTGAATGACACTGGTAACTTTCTGACTAACTGGAATGAATCTGATGACTTTCCTTGTAAATGGACTGGAATAGCTTGCAGCCGGCACGACAAAAGAGTTATAACTATGTATGTGTGACTTATATAGTTCGTATTCTCGATTCTTACTATTGTTTTTGTTGTGGGGTTTGTTTCTATATGTCTTGATGGAATTTGCAATTTGTTTGTCTGCAGAAATTTGCCATTCAAACATCTTCGAGGAACTATACCCCCTACAATTTCTAAGCTCGATAAATTACAAAGACTGTGAGCCGTTTTGTTCATTCGTTTAAGTTGTAAAGATTGATGCTTTATGTGTTTTTGCTGAGTTAATTCAGTTGTAAAGATTGATGCTTTATGTGTTTTGCTGAGTTAATTCATGTTATGTTATCAGGTCACTTCGCCAGAATGAACTTAATGGTATCATCCCGGGAGAAATTTCCCAATGTTCTGAACTAAGAGCCTTGTAAGTTGAAAAGAATTCTCGTATTTTAAGTTTAGAATGTGTGACTTTTTTTATGAATTTTGCATTAATGAATAGTTGTGTGTGTAGGTATCTTCAAGCTAACAATTTAGAAGGTGGTATACCGTCAACTATTGGAAATCTTACTCATTTGCGTAAATTGTAAGATTTAATTACATTATGGTCTTGTTGTGTGTGTTAGTTTGTGTTTTCCATTTCCCCCATTGAAACTCTGATTGTTTTGAGTAATGGAATTTTATAAATTTTTACCAGGGATTTGTCGAGCAATTCACTGAAAGGTGTTATACCTTCTTCTCTAGTTCGCTTAACGAATTTAACATATCTGTAAGTCGGGATAATTTTAAGTTGGATTTTTTTCGTGCTTCTGCTTAGTAGAAAACTGTGTATAGCTGTTGCTATTAAGTTCGTAAATTATATAGTTGATTCACCTTTTTTTCCCCTTCAGAAACTTATCATCAAACTTCTTAACTGGTGAGATCCCAAGTATTGGAGCTCTAGCCAGATTTGGGTTCACTTCGTAAGTT